GAGTATTAGGAGAAAATTTTCTCCTATAAAGGCCATATGAGGAACCAAATGTTCTTCCAAACACTCGTTAATGTACCTGTCGGCACTAAGGTGTCCTCCTCGTAGCGAAACAAGGTCTGTGCGGGATTCCACAGAAATACCGCCCCATACTATCACTCCTGCACCACCAAATTGCCCTCTAGGAGCGAAACAACTTTGAGCCTACGCCTTCTCCACACTCTTTGGCGACCATCAGGTGCATATCTCGTAAAACCAGGCTTGTCTGTAAATAGAACTTGTTTCCAGTCGTCCATATCAGTGGCGACGCGTGACTTTACCAAAACCAGATGTGAAAAATCTTTTAAAAAAAGTTTATTTTGAACCTCCCAAATATATGTTTTTGCTTATTTTAGGTATTTTATTTAAACTATTTTTAAATTAAGGTAAACATTCCTGGATTGAGCATCTGGGGCACTTGATATACCTCATCGTCTTATGCTATGACTAAACCAAGCCGTCCGAAAAAACAGTCGACGTTTCTAGATGTTCGGAAAATTTTTGATCTTTTTTGGCAATGCATCTTAACAATTCCCTGTAATTTCCTCTATTGTCAGAGTCATCCCCTTCAAAATGAACGGTAATTCCTGTTTTGCCAAAAAACATACCGTATCTAAAAGCTTGGTTAAGACAACTTTCGATTCTTGTTTTGCCAAACTGAATTAAATTGGCTACACATCTGACATGTAACGGATAAATTTCATGTCTTCTCTTTAGAGCCCTAAAACTATTTAAATCGTTGACTCCGCTGTATTTTATTCTGTATAAAACACATCACAATCACATAAACAAGAGATTCCATATACCAACTTAACTTAAAATATCAAACTAAGTTTTTTATTCCTTTTTAAAATTATCTGGTCTTCCATTTTCAATGATCTCCTTTTTTTCTTGAAAATTATACAAGTAGAATGACTTTTCAAGTAGTTGATAATAATAATAATAATAACGCCTTTATTAGCTGCAGTGAGGCCCAACCCCATAACAGGAAAAAAAATACTTGAACACATAAACAAAATAATAACATACCAAAAAAATACAGTTCATAAGAATGACAACATTGCTGCACGAGACAAATGCAGATAGTATTGTCAGAGTTTTAAAATTTGAAACAAAAATAGTAGAAAATAGTCAAACAAAAAAAAGCACATGAACACAAGAAACACTGAACTAAATGGACTCCAGCAGCTGACTTTCATTAATTTCTTAAAAGAAGCAACCTGTTTCGATCGATAGCCACTGTTGACTGCATTGTATTGCTTGACAGCATTATAGGTGTAACTTCTTTCAAAGACCGAGGTATTGTGAGCAGGCATGTTAAACTTAGCATTAAATCTAAGAGCTCTGGTAACAAAACTACTACGGTGAACTAATTTGCTAGCGTGGTAAGCTGGTCTGTTAGATAATAGAACTTTATGCGTGAAGACGGTTAAAAGATATAAAAATAACTTATCAATTCGCAAACAGTTGAGTTCTTTGATTTTATCTGAGACGCGACTAAACTTGAGCAATCCAAAAATAAACCTACAACAGCTGTTCTGAATTTTCTGGAGCTTCCTTTTGTGGACGTAGTCTAAACATGGGTAATAAAGAACAAGAGAGTAAGAAATGACAGACAACACAAGACTTTCAGCGAGCTTTTTTCAGGTTTTAAAATTCAGGATGAATTGATTATAATAGAGAAGTTTCAAACGCATATACGTTACTCTAGATAAGAAAGAGACATGTCGATCGAATCTCATATTTAAGTCAAGGGTAACACCGAGATTCTTGGCGTAATCCACAAAAGGATGAGTGTCTCATCCAAAACAAACAAATCCTCTGCTTCATTTCACGGTAGGAGTTCTTCGAACAGTAGAACATTGCAGTAGTTTTATTAGGATTGATCTTCAAGCAGTGTTTGTTACAGTAATCACTAGCCAAATCTAAATTAACTTTAAAAGAAACTTCATCAACCTTTGATGGATCGAAACCAAACACTAACTGAGTATCATCTGCATAAGTTTGCATACTAGAGTGGACTAAACAGTCTTGCAGATCGATAGTATAAATCAGATATAGTAAGGGACCTAATACTGAGCCCTGTGGAACTCCCGTAGGAACTGGCTCAGAGGAAGAAATTCCCTGATCAGTTTTCACTGTTTGTTGACTCAAAGAACCTTAGAACTATATCTGACATTCCATAATGAGATAACTTACTCATTAGTATCTGGTGATTGACCATATCAAAGGCTTTCGAGAAATCTAACAGTACCAAGACGGTGTTGATGTGATTATCTAAATTGTGAGTGATGGATCAGTAAGATGTAATAAAGACGAAGTAGTGCTGTAACCAGCTCTGAAACCTGACTGATGTAGAGGAAATAAGTGATTTTGGTCGAAAAACTCCACTAGTTGTGAGTAGACAGCTCTTTAGAGTTTTTTTGATATGAAGCATAATAAGGTATTTGGCCTGAGATCCTAATATTGTTCTGGATGATTAGTTTTAGCTATTGGAATAATAATACCATTTTTCCAACTGGCAGGAAAGTAACCTGTTTCGAGACAGACATTAATAATGTGAGTACGAGTACGTATCGATTACGCAGCGACATTCATCCATGTTTAATTGCACGCATACTACAGCCGTTAACCAAAACGAGTGAGATGTGAGTAACCAAATCAAAAAATGGTAACAAGCCCACATAATAGTCGCAACGCCCCACCCACTCGGGCGACCGCGATCAGACACGAGCCGGTACCGACGGTCCCCGACGGACTACCAAGTGTATCCATAAATGAAAATGGTAACAACCGACAACCAAGTCGAGGCGAGTCAGCTTCATCGTATTCGCAAAACCTAGACACTATAGGGCGCATTATTATAAAATGCTAACAGATACAGCCTACCTGAAACAATTTCTTACCCGGCAAAGCCTGCTTGAAACAATGTCTTGTTATCGCTATGATTCGCATGATTTTCGTCAAAACAGCATATATTCTTCAATAATTGAGATATTGACATGAATAAAAAAAGAACTGTTGAGAAAAGTTGAGGCTAAAAACACATTATTGAGTAACCAATGTTTCCACAGGGTGTTCAGAAATTTGCAACATGCAATATTTAGGTATAACAACAAACATTTTCATTTTTTTTTTTGCTAGGTAGACAGTCGATAATGATAACAATGAAATTACCTACAACTTGACAAAAAAATTAACGAAATTCATACAAAGGTTAAAAAGTTATTTAATATTTTATTGGAATAAAATTTTGTTTGTTCGGTTAATTTTGCGTGGCAGTATAGTCAAACTGATTCTTATTTTAAGGTTAATCTGTTTTTATCTGTTCCTACGATTCTTCGTTTTTAGGCAAAAATGACGGCAGTGTCGGGGGTATCCGATACTTCCAGTGCGAACCCAAAAAGGGCGTGTTCTCCAGACTGACCCGTTTAACTCGCTGTCCCCTGAATCAAGAAGGCTCTGGAGAAACTTACATCAGTTCTCCTTCCTCACCTGCAGCGATGGGAAGGAGCTCTGTTTCTCCTACTGGTAGTTCTAACCTGACGAGGGTGCACCATGTATCTATAAGTAAGTTTTTACATTCTTTAATGACACTTTTTCATTACTTTTAGGCTAAGCTGATCAATCCGGATGAACTTACTTCACTCCAAAAATAGTTCCAGTGCCGCCAGTTTAACGGATAACATTTAAAATTAGACATACAACTCGCAACTTCTATTCCACCCCTAATCGCATTAGCCATTGAAATAAAGTATAAATAGCAAATTTATAATTAAAACTGAACATTCTAAATTCATCAAAACTAAACTTTTTCCATGTTTGTGAAAAATGGTACTTCGGCGGTTTCCTAAACTGTCTTGTGCATTCTTATTCCAGGGTTATAACAACCCAGATGGAATTTGCCGTCACAAGCAAAATGTAACGCTAACCTCGAATAACATACCTAATCTCTATTTGGTAATAAGGAAAAAATACATCTTAACAACTTCCGAGCCTGCCATGTTCAAAATTACAGTCCTGTTCCATGGTTATCACAAACCAGATGAAATTTGCTATCACAAGCAAATGAGAAAAGATTGTTGACCATACCTTGTTGCTACGTTGTCCCAAACGCTTTCAGTGTTGTTATTTGTGCAACGAAGTTCAGTATTGAGTCATTTTTCTAAACATCTTCAATCGTCCTTGGTGTGGACTATCACAAGCTAGGTCCATGTTGCTATCCCAATCAACCGAGTCCAATGTTACAACGTTATCCCAAATGTCTTCGTTCATCTTTGGTGTGGAGCTGCCTATCCCAAGACAGATCCACGTTGCTTTCCCAAACAACCGAGTCTAATGCTTCCACGTTATACCAAATGTCTTCGTTCATCTTTGGTGTGGACCTGCCTATCCCAAGACAGGTCCACGTTGCTATCCCAAACAACCGAGTCTAATGCTTCCACGTTATACCAAATGTCTTCATTCGTCCTTGGTGTGAAGCTGACTATCCCAAGCCAGGTCCACGTTGCTATCCCAAGCAACGTCACGTTAGGCACAATGAGGCCTGCACGCCACTTTCTAATTTTTTTTGGGGGGGGGGGTGAAAGAGACGGGTGAAAAGTAGGGGGAAGGGGCGCGGTGCCGCTTTCCTTCTCTAGGTGCGCGCTTTTAAATCGTGGCGGGTGGGCAATACTACGAGGGTACTACGATATGTATTCTAAATATTTACTTCGACGAGGAAGGAACATAATAATATTTCCCTTGTCTAAACAATGGAAGAAATAAGTTTTAGTTCACAATAATGTGTTATTGCGCAGGATCGTTTTTATATTCAGACAAAAAAAAACCAAAACTTATATTCTGTACAATCTGGCCATTGTTCTTTTCTGTCAACGTTTGAAATAAATTAAAAATATAGGTCAAACTGGGGTTAAACTCCCTGTATTTAGAAAATTGTCATCATTTTGACAATGGCGTTCTAAATTCTTCTAGAAAAATGTTTCGGCAAAAAATGACATTGTCAAATTATGTGTCCTGTTCCAGACCTATACGTAAAAAATGTAATACTGCCCATATTTTTTATTTATCGCAAATTGCATAAACTCATAATTGTGACTGGTAACGTATCCTTTTCAAAAGTCCGTCATTTTTCATTTAGTTTTAATAGTTTGTCAATAAATCAGCCTTCAAGAAAGCACAACTTGAACGATTTTTGAGAGAAAATATTTCATAAACCACAAAATCCTCCCTTAATCTGTGGCCCTTAATTAGTGTGCAGTTTGAATGACCACCAATGCGTACCTTGTTTTTAATTAATATATTTGTCAATATTATTTTCATAATTTCCATAAAGGACTTTTGCAGCAGGGCATCTTACAAGTCACGAAAACATTTATTTTGAGTATTATAAATTTTTTTTATTTCAGGCGACTCAAACACCAGCCTAGCATCAACTGCCTCTCATCCCATAGATTACAAAGTGGGAGACAGGGTAATAATAAAAAGCAGTCAAGGGTCCAAAGTTGGTACGGTCAGATATATCGGTACTACTGAGTTCGCCAATGGTGAATGGGTGGGAGTAGAACTGGACGAGCCTAGGGGGAAGAACGATGGGTCAGTCAACGGAGTCAGGTAATTAGGTCGAAATTTATATTTAAACAAAAGATCGACAGTTACTAATCCACAGAGGGTGGACTAATTATCTTTAACGCAGTAGAATATTTTCCATTTTTTTTTTAATGCGACTGATAAATAATCAAAGTACCACCTCCAAAGGTATATTTTTTCTATGAATGGGAAATATCAATATTTACTCTGCAAAGTTCAAACAAAATTGTAATGTTATTTTCACACCCTGCCTGTAGAATGCAATTCTTACTTCCTGCGAAAGAGGTTCGGTTTTAGGTAGATTTATTTATTTATATCATATCTAGAAATAACTAGAAGTAATGCGTATTTTTTACAGTATTTGGCCTAGGAAAATGAAATAACGGGTGTCCAGTGGGAAAGCTCACCTTTAAAATTTAAATTACGCGGTAACCGGATACGCGAGGAAGTGGGGAGAGGTCTTGATCGACGCGTTCGGCGTGCGGGTTAAATAGTCACAATGGAACGTTGGACCGGAGCGCAACGTGTTTTTTCTATCGAGGCTTACTTTATTAGTGGTGATTCATACACAGCTAGGTCAATACTGCAATGGCTTTTCATCCTTATAGATAAAGAAAGTGATTACGTATTAAGGAAATCTTGTCCTGAACGGATGTTGCGGAATTGCGGATATTGGGCAGCAACGAACCCAAAAGAGAAACATCAACTACAGCTACATACGCCAAAGGTGACTGTTTGGTGCGTCATATCCTCTAGCGGTATTATTGGGCCGTATTTCTTTGAAGATCAAAACGGTCATGCATTGACAGTTAATTCCAACCGATACAAGGACATGATTGACACTTTTGGTTGGGGGCCACTGCCCATACCACGAGAGAATCGATGGACACGGTAGCTTCCTTAAAAAGTGTATATCGATTTCAATACCTAAAAGCGCAGATGGATATATAAGTCCAATTAAAAAAAATATATTTTGTATGTTCAATATGAAACGGTGAAAACACTATGATTTGTCGTCATATAAATTCTAAACAAAGAAACGCTATATAATGGCACTGTGGACTAACGTTATCTTCTTTAAATGTTTCTAAAAAACTCCTAATCAACATCAAAAGTTATACTTTTTGTCATTTTATTGAAAAACGAATCATGGACGTTGGATTCGTAAAATCAGAAAGCATAAATTTGCCAAACATTGACACATTGATGGTTGATATTTTTTTATGTAAGTACAGTGTATCTGATATAATGATATCACCAAAAAGAAAGAATAATCTTTCTTTGCAGAAGAACCTGTGAATAATTTTATCTAACATTGTATTTCCTCTTACAAGTCTGCAAGTGAATCGTACGGTGATGATGCCGTAGGTTACGACCAACTTAAACTTAGACGATAAAATTTGCATAATAAAATGTAAAATATGTCCCGAACATAAGATGTGCCGAGCAATACACAATGTTGCGTATACCTATTTATTTTCCTGGTCATTCTAATCCACAGCTTTCCTGGGATCTTTATCGACGTGTTTTTACATTCTCGGACAATACATTTACGATAATTACTATATTTTGTGTTAGGACCCCTGTTATTTTCATTATATATCTCAAATTTAGCACTTGTCTAATCAGTTCCCTAGTGTTTGTTGAAGGATTTTCTTCTACAAGAATCAATACACCTTCCTCAGTTTGTACCATTCGGGGAAACAAATCCAGGCGGCGCTGAATGATAATGTCTGGGAAAACGATCTGCATACACTCGCGAAGCCTCGGTAGCATTTTGAAGACACGCACCATATATTAAAATCAGGTCGAGCTCGATATATACTGACATATAAATCCGAACACCCAGACTAAATGGTTTTATTTTAATAAAAGTTGGTGAATGTATTTATCTTACTGTAAATAACAAGTGAAAAAATTTTCAGCCTTATCAGTTGGACATTCCGGTTTTTATACTGCTTTTTTTATTCACTAACGCTCTAAAAATGAATATTTCAGCCGCAGTAAAGAATCAACGTTGGCGGATTTTGGTTCTTGACGTCCTTTACAATCGGTTACGATGCCTAGAGTACGGAGACCTGTACGATTTCGTCAACTTAGTCAGTTTGATAGGGGCCGTATAGTGGGACTTCGGGAAGCTGGACTTTCTTTTCGGGCAATTGCAGTTAGAGTGCAAAGAAGTGTAGACACTGTGGTTAGGTGTTGTCAGGCATGGCTTCGAGAAGGCCGTACGCAAAGAGCAAGGGGCAATGGACGCCGGCGTAGAACAAATTCAAATTCAAATTCAAAATATTTATTTCGTCATGAATAAACATCATAAACAAAAGAAATTCTACATATAGAGTAATGACGAAAAAGGACAGTCCCTCGATTATAAAACCGATACATTGGACCCTTTAATACAAAGAGTCCATGCGAGAAAGCCCTGAATACCCTAAAAGTTCTTAAAAAAATAACAAATACAATAAAGAGGCAAATGAAGAGGCGGTGAAACACAAAAAAGGCAAAAACGAAGAGAGAACCCCCGGGAGCTGGCAACGGACGCGAAAAACAAATCTATACAACTTGTCAGCGAGTAGGAATGTAAAAACGTTATTTTTGCTCACACAAACGCTGCTAAAGTAGCTGGTGATTCTGTAACAACGTTTTTGTCAGTTTTGAGAATGTTTTTGACGATGAGCTTTTAACTGAAGTTGGTAAATTATTCCATAAGTGAACCGCCACATAGGCAAACGATTGTCGGAAGGAACGCGTTCTATGCCTAGGTACGATAAAATTGAGATTATTTCTACTTCTCTGGGCACTAGGCAAAGGCACAAATCTTTCTCTTAAATAGGGCGGTTGACCTGTTTTTATAACCCTATAGATAAAAGAATACATGTGATATTTTCTGCGATTCGTCATGTTTAATATGTTGTAGTTATTCAGATAAGGAGTGATATGGTTTCGATATGGAATTCCAAATGCAAATCTCATGCAACTATTTTGAACTTTTTGTATGCATTTTTTGGTTCGCGACGATAGCGAATCACCATAGACGACATCTCCATAGTCAAAAAGTGATAAAATTAAGGTATTACACAAATAATATTTTTGTTTGGCTGATAAATGTTTTTTTAATTTGTTTATATTTTTTAGTCGCATGTAAGCTAAATTTGTTCTGTTTTTTATATGACTGCCGAAGCCAAGCGAGCTATCAAATATAATGCCCAGATTTTTTGTCTCCTGAACTATGGGGATTCTGTCATTGTTAATAGAAATTACTAAATTTTGTTCAAAATGTTCTCTTTCAATACTGTTTTTATTCATAACCATTACTTGCGATTTCGAGGGGTTTAGTTTAAGATTGTGATGCTTTGCAAATGTGTCAATTCTTTGGAGATCTGAATTTAGTTGTTGTTGTGCAATATGGATTGTGGTTTTATTGACAGCGAGATATATTTGTGAGTCATCTGCATATTGTTTTATCTTTGCGAATTTTACCGATTTGACCATGTCAGATATGTAGATTGAAAATAGCAAAGGAGATAAAATTGAACCTTGAGGAACTCCTCTTTTTATAGGTTTAAAATCGGTTTTGTAAATAGCAGAATCATTTGCTAACATAACACAGTTTGAACGGTTACTTAAGTATGTTTTTATTAGATTTACGGAGTTCTGCGAAAACCCCTGGTAATGTAACTTAGCTAGTAACATTTCATGATTCAGAGTGTCGAACGCTTTACTAAAGTCGAGAAGAACCATGCACGTACTATTTTTTTGTTCTTGATGATGTCTGATATCATCCAAGATATTAACTAATGATGTACTTGTGCTAAAGTTTTTTCTAAAACCGGATTGACTATCTGGTATGATATCGTTTGTGTCACAAAAAAACCTAATTTGATTATAAATATGCCTTTCTAAAATTTTGGATGTAGCGGGTAATATGCTAATAGGCCTCAAGTCTGTAAATTCTTTAGGTTCTGCTATTTTTGGTAAGGGTTTAACAATAGCTTTCTTCCATATTTCTGGAAATAATCCCCCCAAAATACATGTGTTGATTATATTCAGCAAGGCATTCGTACAAAATGGGATACATAACTTTAGGTCTCTCATAGAGAAACCATCCTCTCCAATGGCATTTGATGAGATATTAGTTACAATTTTGATTAGACTGGCCCTGTCTAACAGTTGGAAGCGAAGAGAATCGTTAATGTTTACATTGTTTTTGTAAAAATTGATTAATTCTTGGGAAGCAGTGTCTGGTAAATTGTCGGTCTGCTGGAAGTAATTGTATATGTCATTTATATTTTGTAAGTGTTCGGGTATAGTTGAGTGAGTTTTCTTGCATGTTATGTTGAGCTTTTTGGTAATGTCCCAAAATTCCTTACCTTTCTTTGTTGAGAGTAAGTTAAAGAATGTATTTTTTTCTCGGATAATTGCATGCTTTGTATAGTTCCTTAGTTGTTTATAATATTCAAAATGAGCCTGTGATTTTGATTTTTGAAATTTTTTATGAGCTTTATCTCTTAGTCTGATTAAAATTCTTATATTTTGAGTTATCCAGGGTAGATAAGGTTTTTCAGTTATTTGTTTTGTTTTTATTGGAGCGTGTTTATTCAGAACAGTTACTATATTTTTATTAAAGACTTCTATTTTTCGGTCGATTTGGTTTATATAGTAAATATCCTCCCACCCAAGTAGAAACCCTTCATTTAAGAAGGATTCTCTATCTATATTATTGTAGTCTCTATATTTAATAGTCTTTTGTGATTTATTTATTTTTGACTTTCGAAAGGCTGAGTAAATTAAGTTATGATCTGAGAGATTTTGAGAAACTGCCAATGAATTAGAATCGATAGAGATAAGATCCTCACTAGCACAGATTATATCAATGAGGCTAGCCTCTCTTGTGGCAAAATTGAATCTTGTTGGCTCACTGATCCTTTGTGATAAGTTAAAACTATGAATTATATTTTTGAGGCGATTTGTGTATGCAGAATTATTTAAAATGTTAATATTTAGATCTCCTATCAGTAATA